AGTCATTCATTTTATGGTCATTGCTGTATTAAAGTCCATCAAATCCATATACCACAATTTATTTATCCATGTCTTTGTTGATGGCATTTAGATCATTTCAGCGCTTGGCTTTCTTGAGCAATACTACTTGCAAATATTATCTTGATGCTCGTTTCTTCAGGTTCTATACCTCGGCACGGAACCTCTGGGTCACAGCGTTTCCACTTTCAACTTAAACAATTGACGCCAAACTGTTTCTCAGACGGTCTCCAGTCAGATCTCCCACCAGCACTTTCGATTGCTCCGTACCTTACCCATTACTTGGTGTTACCAGACTTTTTCTCTTTCGCCAATTGGGTAGGTATGTAAGGGTCTCAACCAGTTTCTGATTAAGCAAGCAGAAAAACTTGAGGTTTTTCTTTCTTTTTTTTTTTTTTTAATGTTTTATTTATTTCCAGGAGAGAGAGAGAGAGACAGCATGAGCAGGGGAGGGTCAGAGAGAGAGGGAGTCACAGACTGAAACAGGCTCCAGGCTCTGAGCTGGCAGTCAGCACAGAGCCCGACGCGGGGCTCGAACCCACGAACCGCGGGATCATGACCTGAGCGAAAGTCGGACGCTCAACCAACTAAGCCACCCAGGCGCCCCAAAACTTGAGGTTTTTCAACAGGAGGAATTTAATAATGGAAATGAACTAAGGGCTCAGGGCAATGTTGGCACGGAAGGGAGAGCACACTTAAGGAGGACTGCAGGATTCGTAATTGCAAGAAATCAACACGGTCCCTAGGGCTACAGCAACAAAAGAGAGGAAGACTTATCTTATTCTCTGACACAGGCTGCTGAGAGCTAAGAGAAGCGCACTTGATAGTCTCTGGGAACACAGAAGGGGGCTCCTCCCCTGGCACGGTTACTACAATTCTGGAAGTACAGTACTCTTTCTGGTACATTCACTCTGGCTTCTGAGAGTACCTCTTTGTAGCCTGTGGCTCAGTGATTTTTTTTACCTTTAGGCTCCTAGCTCTTTCTTCCATTGTCCTCATTCTGAGAGCGCACACCAGTACCCACCCAGTCACCCGGGGTCAGAATCCTGGAGTCACCATCCCCTTCCAGACTCCTCCCTCCACCTCTGAGCCTCTCCTCCCTCCTGTCACACAGCCCTGCCAGAAGACAGACACGCCTTTCTATTCTAGCTCCCAGCACGTGATATTATACAAACTACCGCCTCAGGAAGTGTTTCTTTAATGACTGAAAACATAAGGGTTTGGGGACAAGATGAACTAAAAGATCCCCTCGAGTGGCAGGGTGCCTGGCTGGCTCGTCAGTTCAGCATGCAACTGTTGACCTCAAGGGTTGTAAGTTCAAACCCCACACTGGGTGTAGAGATTACTTAAAAATAAAACCTTAAAAAAAAAGGGGGGGGGAGGGAGAGAGAGAAAGTGGCTTCCCTTTCTAACCCGAGGCAGCGGGAGGACAGAGTGGCTGTGCCGACAGCGTGGCTGTACCAGCCGCTGAACCCCTGAAATGTACCCAGACCTGAAGGTACAGAGCCTCCCCATGCTCCTCCCAGGGACTCCCTGGCAACACGGGGCTAGCCCACTCCCTGGCCTGGCAGGTGGCTGCACATTTTGTTTTAAATCCTTATTTATTTATTTTGAGAGAGATAGAGAAAGCCAGCACGGGAAGTACAGAGAGAGAGAGAGAGAGAGAACCCCAAGCAGGCTCCACGCTGTCAGCTCAGTGCCAGATACGGGGCTCAAGCCCACAGACCGTGAGCCGAAATCAACAGGTGGACGCTTAACAGACGGAGCCATCCAGGCACCCCACATTTCGAATATGACTCCAGAAGGGTGAGTTTGGGGTGGGGAGAGCCGGTTTCACTGAGTCAAGATCTGTTGGTTTAGGTGAACCCTATTTTGTGACTTTCAAGATCTCATTGAAACCCACTGCATACCGAATGTCTCTGGACCCAAAGGCGGCGAAGCTATGGGTATTCTCAGGACGAGCGATTCGCTTTTTTGTTTGATTAAAAGAAATATAGAGTCATCTCCCTCTGCCAGATCAGTCCCTGTAGGGCTAAGGAAACGGGTCAGGGAAGGGCGTGAAGGGAACGGGAAAAGGGAACAGCTGACCTGGCAAAGGGCACTTAGGCCACTGTGCCTTGTTAAGGACAGTAGGACAGGGCGGCTACAGGCCAGCAGTCAGTTCAGCCTGAGGACAGTGGAGCTCAGAGAGCTTCCAGATGCAGGATGGCGAGCCGGCAGAGTCATTTTAGGCTGGGCCACCACCCAGTCACTGTTTCAGGTAGCTCTGGCCGCACCTGTCCCCTCACTCACCAGCAGCGGTCCTGAATCTGTGCCCAAATAAAAGAGGGTCTGCTCTGCCCCGAAGCCTCAGGAATGCACTGAGCTCACTAGCGCCCACCGTGCAGGGCATTTGCCTGGAGCTCAGTCCAGGCTTGGGGGGTGGGGGTGGGGACAAGGGGACTGTCTGGAGGCTGAGCCAAGGTCTGGAGGCTGGGCCCTTTGTCAGGGCCCCTGTGACCAGGTGTACATTTGTGTAGAGTAGTGACCTCTCTGTGTGATTCCCCGAAGAAGTAAAACCAGAGCTGCCACTGTGCTGTTGGGGGCAGCGGAGGGGGGGGAGGTTGGTGGCAGTAGAAGGAATATGAGGGTCAGGACAAATGATTTCTCTTGTCTTCCTGGGGTGACAAACACCCAGCCCAGGGGGTCACTGATGTGGAAGGGGAGGGAGGCAGAGGCAGTCAGGGAAAGTCTTCTGTGGGAGGAGAAAGCAGGTGGGGGTGACTGAGGTGAGCATGCTGGGGGGGGGGGAGGGAGGAGGGAGCAGATGATGATCAACCGGGTTGAGGGAGGTTGAGGTCCGATGTGCTAGAGGGCCCCCCTAGAGGTCAGACTGGAGCGGTGCCAGGTATAAATGAAGCGTCATCCATGAAGTAGAGGTGGCAGTGTGGGGTCCCCAAGGCAGAGGAGGAAAGAGCCTCTTCAAAGGAGTCATTGTTTCTGTCACCCCACAATCTGGGACCCTCTGCATAATATATCAAGGAAGCCAAAGCATTTCCGGAACTACGACACCACGGTGCCTGTACCCATCATAGAAACCATCTCATCACCCCTAGCTTCCAAGCCCCTCCCCCGGACCCCCAGATAAGGTCCAAATTCCTTAGCGCTACACTGAGCCCCGCCCGATGCCCCCCTTCCCCACATTTTCCAGCCACCAACAACTTTCCCCGCATCGTGGCACATCCCTGCCTGCCCTGCTTCAGGGCCTGGGTCTCCTGTCATTCCCCAGGGAGGATTCACACTCTCCAGCCCCCATCTGCGGGATTATAGTTGACCATTTAGGGGCTCTGCTGGACTGTGACCCCTGAGCAGTCAGGCTTTCCAATTAGCAAACAGTGGTCAATGAACAGGAGGCATTTTCCCTTATTTGTCCAAGATTTGCCTGTTTCTCAGAGGATGCACTTTAGTGCCTTTATTATAGCATTTAGTACCCAAACATCCCCTTCATGACAGGCATCTTGATCCTTTCCAGGCTCAGTGTTATTGTCCATAATTCTTCCAAACCTGGGGAGTTCCTCCATGTCCCCAATTTACATATTCATCCACTTGTGCAACAAATATTAAGGCTAGTTCGTGCCAGGCACTACTGGTGACCCCCAGACACAGTGAGAACATGCTGGACGTAGCCTTTAACATTTAACCATTGGGGCGCCTGGGTGGCTCAATTGGCTGAGCGACCGACTTCCGCTCAGGTCATGATCTCACCGTTCGAGGGTTTGAGCCCCATCAGGCTCTGTGCTGACAGCTAGCTCAGAGCCTAGAGCATGGAGCCTGTCTTCGGATTCTGCGGCGCTCTCTCTCTCTCTCTCTCTCTCTGACCCTCCCCTGTTCATGCTGTCTCTTTCTCTCAAAAATAAATAAAACACGGGGCGCCTCGGTGGCTCATTCGGTTAAGCGTCCGACTTTGGCTCAGGTCATGATCTCAGTTTGTGGGTTCGAGCCCCGCGTCGGGCTCTGTGCTGACCGCCAGCTCAGAGCCTGGAGCCTGTTTCAGATTCTGTGACTCCCGGGGCGCCTGGGTGGCTTAGTCGGTTAAGCGTCCGACTTTCCGACTTTCGCTTAGGTCATGATCTCGCGGTTTGTGGGTTCGAGCCCCGCGTCGGGCTCTGTGCTGGCTGCCAGCTCGGAGCCTGGAGCCTGTTTCAGTCTGTGACTCCCTATCTCTCTGACCCTCCCCTGCTCACGCTGTCTCTCTCTCCTGGAAATAAATAAACTATAAAAAAAAAAAAAAAAAAACAGATTCTGTGACTCCCTCTCTCTCTGACCCTCCCCTGCTCACGCTGTCTCTCTGTCTCAAAAATAAATAAAACATTAAAAAAAATTTTTTAATAAAAATTAAAAAAACAAAAATAAATAGAACATAAAAAACCACATTTAACCATTAAAAACCACCCCACCTTTAGTCCTCTGGTGCGAGCCAGGGAGGACCCAGGTGTAGCCCCCGCTCGCTGTGACTGCTCCCTGGGCCTGCGCCAGCTCCGGGTGCCGCGCGGGAGTGAGGCCAGCCATAGAAATTGCCCAGGGTCGGGGTCAAGCAGAGACTTCTCCCCTCGACATCATCCCCGGTGTAGCCCAAACATTTGGAGGCGGTGTGGCCACCGCCCCAGGGCTCCCTAGCCTCTGCTCACAGCCTCTGCCCGGTGGGCTTGTCTCCAGGCGGACCCGCAGAGGCCAGCGCTGGGGGCCGGGTGGGGGACACGCCCTTGTCCGTAGGAAGTCTCCGGCTGGGCGGACGGGGGCGGGGCCTGGACAGGGGCGGGGCCAGGCGGGCGGCCAGGCGGAGTCTGCAGCTCCGGCTTGCCAACTACCTGTCGCGACCCAGCCGAGTAATGACGACCCCGTGCGCCCGCAGGATGACTCTAATGGGTGAAGACGCCGCGCCCAGGGCCCCTCAGGCCGGAGTGGGAGGGGGCGGCCACACTTGCCATTCCACCTGCCCCACCTACTTGCGACTGACAATGCCACGTTCGCGGGTGTCGTGACTCCTTCACTGGCACCCCTCGACCCCGGAGCGGAAGTGGGAGGAGGCCGGAGCCGACCCGCGGGAGGGTGGGGACCCGGGAGGGTGGGGGCCCCCAGGACAGGGCTGTACGTGGCCTCTCCGGGTTCTGGGAGCCCCAGGAAACAAGCGGGGGGTGGGGGGGCTGTAGGCTCCCGGGTCTCCAGCCGGGCCGGATGGAAAGGTCAGTGCTGGACGGTGGGGAAGGCAGCCAGCACCCGAGGGGACCAGAGACCGCGTGGTGCTGGGTGGTCGGCACTGGGGTTCTGGGGTTCTGGGGCTGTGCCGCCTGCGCCTGATCTTGGCCCTACTTCAGCCACCCTGGTGACCTTGGACGTGAACTGCACCTCCCCCGCCTCCATTTCAGGTCTGCGAAGGGAGGGCAATCATGATCGGATTTACTATGAGGAAGTGAGGAAAGGGGCCATCCTATCTACCCTTAGGTCCCTTCTGAAAGCTTAGAATATGTTGGCTCTTGTTTTTCCTCTGCCGGCTCCAGTTTTACAGAAAAAAAAAAACAAAACAAAACTGGGGCTCCGGAGGTTTTTTAGTAACTGGCCCAAGGTTACACAGCCAGCGAGTGGCAGAGCCCAGGCCTTGCCAATTTCCCCAGCCAACGGTATAAAGTTCTGTCAGTGTTCCTCACTCAGGGGGACCCAGTTTATTTTTCCTTCCTCCAGGTATGCCCAGACCCGCATCAGGCTCTCCTGGGGGTCTCCTGGGGGCAGTGCAGGACTCTGAGTCCCCTGGGTTCCGCTGGTGCCCCGGACACACTGGGGCACTGATGAGGGGCTCCGAAAGTTCCGGCCTCATGAAGGAGTGGGTGGCTCTCTTCCAGGTCCGATGTCAGAGCTGAAGCTGACTGTGCCCTGGGGACACATCGCTGCCAAACTCTGGGGCTCCCAGCAGAGCCCCCCCGTTCTTTGCCTGCACGGCTGGCTGGACAATGCCAACTCCTTTGATAGGCTCATCCCTCTTCTCCCAAAAGGTAGGGCTGAAGGGGTAACGAGGGGCAACATGGCATAGACTGCAAGAGAATGAGGGCTGGGGGGAGACGTCTGACCTGCTCCCTGTCTCTTGTCTCAGACTTCTTTTATGTCGCCATGGATTTCGGGGGCCACGGGCTCTCATCCCATTACAGCCGAGGTCTCCTGTATAACCAGCAAAACTTTGTGATTGAGATCCAGAGAGTTGTCGCAGGTAAATAAGAGGCCGAGTGTGTGTGTTGGGGGGGGGTGCACTGGGGCATCCCCTGTCCTCTTTGAAGTGAGGTGTGGTAGCCGGGTAGCGGCGCTGGTCTGGAAGGGACCTGGGGTCTAGCCTTAGTCCTGCCAGGAATTCATGGGTGACTTTGGGAAAGTTGGAGAAGGCTGTCAAGGAAGAACTCCCTCCCTCCTGGGGGTTCCACCCCCGCGGGGAAGCCGGGGCCCCTCCAAGCTAGTTTCCTGAGTGGGGCCCCCCAGATGCTGGCGAAGGATGCCCTGAGCACAGGGACTGCAGAAGGGAGGTGTGCGGGAGGCTGGGCCCATCCACACCAGGCTCCGTGTGTTTTCAGCTTTGAAATGGAATCGTTTTTCCATCATGGGCCATAGTTTTGGTGAGTACACTTTACCCTTTGGCCAGCAGGGGGGCTGACAGGACTGGGGGGCTGCGAGGGAGGGACAGGAGTTGGTACACGGATACCCTGCACTTCTGGCCACTGCAAGGAGAGGGGAAGGGGTGTGTGGAGCACGATGGGCGGGTGCCCTTTGGCCTGAGGCAATTCCCCCAAGGGATATACGGCCCCAGGGATGCTGTCTTCCAATGTGACAAGGGAAATGTGGCCTTTTGAGTGGTTAGGTCTGATGAAGGGGTGCTACGGCCCTACGGAGGGAACCCCAAGTTTGGCAGCGAATAAAGAGCCCTGGCCGCCTGTGGGAGAGAGGAGCCAGGCCCTAGCCTGGGGTGGGGCAGCCCCTGGGAGGAAGTTTCTGCAGGATTTCGAGAGCAGGGAGGGGGGAATACCAACCCACTCCTCTTTCGTCCCCTAGGTGGTCTTGTGGGCGGAATGGTGAGTAGATGGCTTTGCGGTGACCACCTCTGGCCACCTTGGGCGCTCTGCCAGGTGGGGTGGGAGAACAGGGGAAAGAAGGGGAAGGAGCCAGGAAAGGAAATACATCCTCATATCACAAAGTTGAAGCCAGCAGTTTTTGACCCAGCGTCACGTTGCTTTGTTGCTGGCGGTAACAATCATTATTGTGGGGCGGTTGGTGAAACTCAAGATTCCTGATGGAGTCCGGAGCTTCCACATTCTCCAGCCTCAGAGAGCCCTGGAGTCCAGCTATCAGCAGGGGGTGGACCTTGGTCTGAGTGTGGGGGGAGGGGAGAGGAGGCTACCGTGAAGGGAACAATGACACCAGAAATGCCAGTGTCCCCAGGGAAAAGCTGGAGTCCCGTTGCCTTCTTCCTCTCCAACTCATTCTTCCCTTTTTGGGTCAACATCATAGTTTTCCTGTATCTTCCCCGAGATGGTGGATAAACTTATCTTGCTGGACACCACGCCATTTGTCCTGGACTTGAAAGTAAGAATAAAGACTTTCGTGCATACCGTCATGGGGGAGACCTGGGCCCCCCAGTAGAGTCCCCAGCCCTGTCTCTTTGGTGGGTACCAGGGAGGCGGGAGAAGGTGGCAGAGGGCAGACAACGGGGGATCAGAGAGGACCCCCACAGAGGACAGGGTTATGCACCCTAAACGCCTAGGAGTGGGCAGAGAAAGGGGTTGCAGAAGTCTTTATGATCCTTGGAAACCCTGTATGCGGCCTGCGGTCTACAGCATGCCAGGTCAGTGACAAAGGGGCAGGGGGTGGAGAGGGTAGGAAGAGTGGACTGAGGAAGCTCTGGGGGCACACAGCTTGGTGAGGCCACCGGCACTCACGCTCAGTTGCATGCTTTTGTGCTGTGCACACACTGCACAGCCACACATGGCAGCGCTGAGTGCGGACCGACGGGAAAGTGCCGATCCCTCTCACTGCCACCACCAGTGACAGCAATCAGTGCCGTCCCTGCATCTGGGTCCTGGCTCTGCCATTGACCTGCTGGGCGACCTTGGGCAAGGGACTTGACCTATATGGACCTTGTTTCCTCATCTGTAAAATTCGCCACCAATTCCAATTTCTTATCTGTAAAATGGCCACAGAGGCCAAAGGGGCATGAACCATGCCATCTGTTTATCGCCACATGCACGGTCCCAGCACGCAGTAAGTGCTCAGTAAGTGTTGGTTTCGTGAATAGAAAGCCTGTGGGGTAACGTGAAGGTCCAGCGACACTCCGGGCTGCACGCCCTTCTTTGTTTCACCCACGGTGCAGTCCTCTTTGTCTTGCATTCTCGAGGGGTTGGATGGGAGTGTCACTTCCCACTGCTGCTGGGGGGGGGCGGGGAGACTGGACAGGGCTGCGCTGTTCCCGGAGGGAGCTAGGTTGGAAATGGGTCCACTCGAAGCAGGGCTGGGAGCCACAGCTGCGCCCCCTGCGGTCTCCCTCCACCGTATGGAGTGATAGCACCCATTAAACCAGATGAACTTGCCGGCCCTGGATGGTGCCTGGCTCACGGGCCTACGGCTGAGACTTTGCAAAGCACATGGCAGAGGTTTCCTTTCCCTCCGTCATCCAGCCTGATCCCTCCAGCTGTCCCGCCCCCAGGCAGGGCTGTGACCAGGCAGACAGCTTGCTCTGATCACAGGGCTGACTGGCAGGGGGTGATCTGTGCCTCCTCTCACGGGGTCAGAACAAATCCCGGCTAAGTGGGTGCGTGGGGGGCAGGGGAGGAGCTGGAGCCCATAGTCCTGCGCACCTAGCAGAACCCGCAACCCCCCCCCCCCCAGGAAAAGGAGAACTTGATAACCTACAAGCGGAGGGTGACAGAGCACATGCTGCAGGTGGAGGCCTCCCAGAAGCCCCAGCGGGTGGTCAGCCCAGAGGAGATGCTGCAGGGGTGAGTGCCGTCTGGTGAGACGGGGCAGTGCGGGAGGGCGTGGGGAAGCTGGAGGAACTCTGGGATACCAAGGGGGGAGATCTCTGGGGCGCAGAGGGGGCATCTGTCTCCCCCGCAAATGCACCGCAAGCCCATTTTTCGCTGTGCTCGCCCTGGGCACCAGGCTGCCTGGGACTCGTCAGACACCCCGGCCGGGACTTGATCTGCCTCTCCTCCTTCGCTCTGTAGCCATGCCCTTCACGTGCCAGAAGCCCCCTCCACGCCTTCTCTGCCCCGCTTCCTCTCCCCATAATTGTGCGCATGTGCACACACAGCCAGCCTCCTCCCTGGTCCTCTGGGGCGCCTGGGAGGCTCCATCGATTAAACATCCGACTCTGGCTCAGGTCACGATCTCTGGTTCGTGAGTCCGAATTGCCTTCCCCACACCTCCTCCCGGCCTCAGCAGGCTGCCCCTTCCTCTGGGGGTCTGACTCCCCTGGGTCAGCGGCTCCTCCCTGCCCTGGAGGTGGCTGAAGATCTGCAGGTGGTGGCCACAGGCGGGTAGCCTTTGAGCCTCCGAAGTGTCACTGGTAGTCAGCGATCTATAAGTATTTGTTGGCTAAAGGAGTGAAATACACACACCTGCGCTCACTCACACACACAGCCTGCTGATGGGAGCATCCCCACTGACCGATGCCCGTGTCCGCTGTGGGGTGGCCCTCCTCTTCCTTCTGTCTGCTCCCCCGCCCCCCAAGACATTCAGCGTCCCTCTATCTTCCCCAGGTTGCTAAAGAACAACAGTCACTTGGGCGAGGAGTGTGCGTGGCTCCTGCTGCAGCGAGGGACCACACAGGTGGCCACAGGTAGGGACTCTCACTGTCCAAGACCATTGGCTATCAGCCCCGTTCTCACCGAGGAGCCGTAACAGCTGCGCGTTAGGGCTGCCTGCTCTGAACCCAGCACCGTGCTGAGTGCCTAGCAAGCGGTATCTCGCGTAACACCCCCTGCTACCTTATATTCACCCCTGTGAGAGCAGGGGAAACTGAGACTTGGAAAGGCCAAATGACTCCTGCCAGCCCCTGCACATCCCAGAGAGGCCTGTGGGGGGCGTCGTCAGGTGTCTGGGGACTAAATGTTGGGGAATGTCCCAGCCCTGCTCTGCTGCCCTGAGTGGTGGGTGCCAGTGCCTGAGGCTACGGTTTGGGGATGTCCTATGGGGCAGGGTGACTCAAAAGAGGTTTTTCAAAATGGACAAGTGGACAAGGCGCCTGGCAGTCTCAGTCAGTAGAGCATGTGACTCTTGATCTCTGGGTAGTGAGTTCAACCCTGGTTTGGCCATGGAGCCTTGCTTAAAAAAGAAAAAAAGAAGGGGGCACATGGGTGGCTCAGTCGATTAAGCGTCCGACTTGTGTTTGAGCCCCATGTTGGGCTCTGTGCTGAGAGCTCAGAGCCTGGAGCCTGCTTAGGATTCTGTGTCTCCCTCTCTCTCTGACCCTCCCCCATTCGCGCTCTGTCTCTCTAAAATTAAAAAACTTAAAAAAAAAAAAAGACGAAAGAAAAGAAATAAAGGGCTCCTGGTTGGCTCAATCAGAGAGCACGCAACTTTTTTTTTTTTTAATATATTTTTTCAATTTATTTCTAGGAGAGAGAGAGAGACAGCGTGAACAGGGGAGGGTCAGAGAGAGAGGGAGACACAGACTCTGAAACAGGCTCCAGGCTCTGAGCTGGCAGTCAGCACAGAGCCCGACGCAGGGCCCAAACCCACGAACCGCGAGATCATGACCTAAGCGAAAGTCGGACGCTTAACCGACTAAGCCACCCAGGCGCCCCAAGAGCACGCAACTCTTGATCTTGGGGTTGTGAGTTCGGGCCCCACCTTGAGTGTAGAGATGACTAGAGAAACAATACACTTAAAAAAAAACCGCTGAATGTAGCACAGTGTTTACCCAAATGGAGGAGTTAGGGCACATTGGCTTCAGGGCAGCATCAGGCCCGTGTTCTCTGGACTTTGAGGAAAACTTTACCAAGATCCCACTCCACGCCCAGCCTCGGGAGAGGCCTTGGGAGCTGCGGTGAGCAGGAACAGACCCTGGCTCACACAACTTCACGCCATTCACAAGTGCCCTCACTGGAAATGTCTCCCCCAGGAGGTGGGCAAGGAGGAGGCCGGGTCGGGAAGATACATTCTAGGAGGAGAAACAGGCGATAAACACGTAGACAGACAAACCAATAGACATTTTATTGTAAGTGGGATAAAGGAAAGGTACAGGTGTTCCAGAAGAGACCCCCACGGGGGGGGGGGGTGTCCTGGAGGTGGTCCCCAGGAAGTGGGACAGAAGCCCAAGGGAAACAGCATGGTAGGGGCGCCTGGGTGGCTCAGTCGGTTAAACGTCCAACTTCGGCTCTGGTCAGATCTCACAGTTTGTGGGTTCGAGCCCCGCGTCAGGCTCTGTGCTGGAGCCTGTTTCAAATTCTGTGTCTCCCTCTCTTTCTGCCCCTCCCCCACTCATGCTCTGTCTCAAAAATAAATAAACTATTAAAAAAAAAAAAAAAAAGCATGATAAAATGGAACAGGCACTAAACTGGGCCAGAAGGACCTAGTTTGATTCCTGACCGTCCCAGCTCCAAGATCTGGGCAAGTCCCTCCTCCCCATGTAGGAACCCGCCCATTTTTCCGAGGTGATGAACAATGCCTTGTGATTTTTTTGTGCTCCCAGTATGATAGGATCAAGCAAGATGAATGCACCACCTTATAAAGTGGCTTATAAAGTACCAAATAAGGCTGCGGGGTCAGAACCCCCAGGGCCCACCGGAGCTGGAAGTCACTGGTCTGCTGGGAGTCAGGTGCCAGGAAGCAGTAAGGACAGCGGCCCTGGAGCCAGGCAGTGGCTAATTGCTGGGAACTCGGGTCTGGAAACAGGATTTCCAGTTGGTCATGAGAAGCCAGAGATCTACTGTGTTGTTTGTTTGTTTTTCCCCAGAAATTGCCGAAATGCCATGAGGTCAAATGGAATCGATTTCAAGGATGTTTTGGCCTCTGGCTGCCAGTCTGCCACTGTCTCAGTCACTGGTTCTGAACCTTGGCAAATCCGCCATGGAGAGGGGAGGTCCAGCGAGAGGGGCCGCGGACCCCAGCTTCCCCATGTGCCCACACAGATGGCCGGCCCAGAGGGGCCCCAGGCGCAGAAGTGGGCTAATCCGGGATAAGACATGCTCTTGGCCAGGCTGGGGAAGCCGATTAGGCCCGGTCGGGGTCACGTGAAGCAGGGAGCACAGACCCTGAACCAATGTCCAGGAGGGTGAGGAGAGGCGGAGGGCAGCCCTGGAAGGGTAGTGGTGGGCAGTGGACGGGGGACTAGATTACGATGTCGGGACCAGCCCGTCTGCAGCAGGCAGAGCCCTTTGGAGCTTAGCGTTAACCTCGAAGAGGACCGAGCAGGCTCCCAGACCCCACTGGGTGGTGCGACACTGGAGGTGTTTCAGGCTGCCCTGAGTCCTTGTCCTCAAGCCCCAGAGCCCCTGACAGGCCCCATTCCGCTCTGGACCAGCAGAGGGCAGAGACCACTCCATCAGTCCAACCTGGCCCTGTAACCAAAGCCAAGTTCCTAAGCCAAGTTCATGCGCAGCAGAATCAGTCACTGAGACATGGAGGGGAGGGAGGGGTTTATTCGGGAGGCCGACAAAGACGGAGGCAAGGAGACTGGAGAATAAGCCTCAAATCTGCCTCCCTGGGAGGGGGAAGGGCCAGGGACTTTTAAAGGCAGTTGGAAAAGGGTCTGGGTAAGAGGGAGGGGAGCTATGTGGCTCAACACCAGCTGAAGGCAGTGACGATGTCGGGAGAGGGGTCATTTCATTTTGTTGGGCTCTCAGTGGAGGTCAGTGTGCTGAGCAGTTCTGGCCAGCTTGATGAAACCCTGAGAACAAATGAATTATCACTTGGTTATCACAGAGTCGGGCAAGAATATTATGTTAGAGAAATGTGCAGACAAGCAGGTTGCCGTGAGGAGGTTGCAGCCGCCTCAGCTGCCCTGTTAAGTCTTCAGTTCCCGGTTTCAGTCCCTGTTGCCTTTGACTTTTCCTCCTTCTTGAGCAAATTGGGAGGATGCCAGCTCTGGCTACTTCCTGCTGAAATGGGCGGGGGCGGGGAGATCGGGGTGAGATCTGCACTCATTCGGAAACATTCTTTAGTTCTGAGTTGAAACCTTACGTTCTGCACTGCTGGGATCTTGGTACCTTGGTTAATAGTTTTCGTACAACATTTTATACCACATTTTATGACTAAGCAGTGAAGAAGGAGAATTATGAATAACGGAAGTTCCACGTTTGAGTAAATAATTCTAGTAAGATTGGCCTAATTCCTTGGGGAATCCAAGAAGATACCCCGGAAAAAAAAAAAAAAAAAAACAGTCCAAATCTGAATCTGAGACTTTAGAGGAGATCTGTTGCAACCAAGTCGCTTGTTGTGTTTATTTTGTCCCCGCTGGACTTCAACTTCCGGAGGAAGGATACATACATGAGCAGCTGGATAAATTAGCTACTATGCAGACACCTCCTTGTTTCTCTAAAATATAACCTGAAGCAATTCTGTTACCTAAAACTATTCTGGCCAGAGTCTCAGGGCTTCTCTTGAGCTGCTATAGCTGAAGCGGTTTCAGTATTCGCTAATATTCCCGAAGATACAGAGAACTTTCTGATCACATGTTCATGGACTGCCACTCCCCACCAGGGTAATAAAGCTCGGTCTTCGTGTCGCCCTGGGACGTAGCCCTACACTTTCCCCCAAATTGAGTCACCATCCGATATGGACCTTTTAGTTCTGGGAAAAGGTTGGAAAGAACTGGTCCAGTGCTGAACGTCCTGGGATTATGGGTAGAGAGAGGAAGGACTGGTGTCTAGGCGCTCCAGATGTTCACAGGCCCCAGGCTGACCATTTGCCCCCCAGACAAATATACATCCCTTTGGGGCACAGAGGATTCCGGATATGTTTTGAAAATTAAGGTTTTTGGGGCACCTGGGTGCCTCAGTCGGTTAAGCGTCCGACTTCGGCTCACGTCATGATCTCACGGTTTGTGGGTTCAAGCCCCGCATCAGGCTCTGTGCTGACAGCTCAGAGCCTGTAACCTACTTCAGATTCTGTGTTTCCCTCTCTCTCTCTCACCCCCCCACCCCACTTCCACTTTCTCCCTCTTTCTCTCAAAAATAATAAACATTAAAAAGAAAGAGAGAAAATTAAGCTTTTTATCTTGAGGGGGATTATGTTTAAAACCTAGTCAAGCCAGGGCGCCTGGGTGGCTTAGTCGGTTAAGTGTCCGACTTTGGCTCAGGTCATGATCTCATAATTGGTGAGTTAGAGTCCTGCATCTTCCTCCCCTCCTCTCGATCAAAAATAAATTTGTTTATTTAATTTTTTTTAATGTTTATTCAGTTTTTGAGAAACAGAGTGCAAGTGGGGGAGGGGCAGTGCAAGTGGGGGAGGGGCAGAGAGGGAGGGAGACACAGAATCTGGAGCAGGCTCCAGGCTCTGAGCTATCAGCACAGAGCCTGATGCAGGACTCAGACCCACGAATCACGAGATCATGACCTGAGCCAAAGTCAGATGCTCAACCGACTGAGCCATGGTGCCCCTCAAAAATAAATTTAAAAAAAACAAAAAAACCCCACCTAGTCAAGCCAGGCATCAGAATTCAGAATAAGGCAGTGTCCAACTGAAATTCATCACATGCCTGTAAAGGGGAAAAGATTCCTGTAAGATATGTGCTATTTTACGACCTCCAATTTGTACATTGGCAAGAGGTAGTATGACCTGAAGACTGGTTAGTCCATCTCTGCTGAACTAAAAAGAGAGATGCTGGACCCAGAAAAT